AAATCAAAACAACAATGAGATACCATCTCACACCTGTCAGAATGGCTATCGTCAACAAATCAACAAACGACAAGTGCTGGCAAGGATATGGAGAAAAAGGAACCCTCTTGCACTGCTGGTGGGAATGCAGACTGGTGCAACTGCTGTGGAAAGCAGTATGGAATTTGCTTTAAAAAATTAAAAATGGAACTCCCATATGATCCAGCAATCCCACTTCTAGGAATATATATCCCAAGAAATCAGAAACGCCAATTAGAAAGGATATATGCACCTCTATGTTCATAGCAGCACAATCTACAATAGCTTAGATTTGGAAATAGCCTAAGTGCCCATCAGCAGATGAGTGGATTAAAAAAAAGAGATACATCTACACAATGGAATACTATGATGCTGTAAAAAAGAAGGAACTCTTGCCATTTGCAACAACGTGAATGGACCTGGGGAGTATTATGTTAAGCAAAATACATAAACTGATGAACAAAAAATAGAGCCAGAGGAAAAAAATATAGTTTAGAAAACAAGTAATCCTGTTACCTGCAGATTTTTAATATTTCCTACATCTTTTGGGATATTATACTATGTTAGTACACTTTTGGCAATATTATTATATTTAAAATCTTTTTTTCTTGAAATATTAATGTTTATTGCATGTAACATTATTATATTTAGAATAATTTTGCTTGAAATATTAATATTTATTGCATGTAAATGGGTAATTATTTTGTATCTACAATCTGGTAATAGATTTATTCTGTATATTATAAACAATAAAAATAAAAAAATAAAATTTTTTAAAAAGAAGCAGGAAAGGCAAAGAGATGCCTTTTATCCATAGGTGAGGGGTATTCCAAAATAAATAAATAAATTAATAAATAAATTAATTAATAAAATGTATACCTTTGATTCTCTCCATACTTCTAGCCATTTCAATAGTTATCCTTATTAACACCGTGTTAAACACTACTCTTATTTCCTTTCTAATATTTTCCACTATGATGATTAAAAATTAAAAGAGGTGATTTCGAGTTTCTTTACAACCCCCAATAATGCCAAATCCATCTTTCCTTCTTCCTGGCCACATGGTAGCCCAGTTTAAGTGTAACTTTGCAATTAATTTCTTCTCAGTGAATTGAGAGCTGAAATGATTTGTACCATATTAGTCTCAGTTTTTTAAAAGGATCATTGCTCAATTTAGATGTTTTCTTTTCCCTCCCCCTGATGTGGAATACAGTCCATGAAGATGATTAAGTCCTAAGAATAATAGAAAAATGAGAAGGATAGTACCTGAATGGTGGCCTGGAGGAGAGGTGCTCCAACTTGGGTCACTTACCTTAAGACTGCTTGTTACATAAGTGAAATAAACTTCTATCTTTCATGACACAGCTGTAATTTTGACTCTCTTAATACAGCAATTTAACATTTATCCTCACTAAAACGTAGTGTTAATAATAATTTAACATATACGTGTTATATTACAACTTACAATATGCTCACATAGACATTATTTTTCTAAACGAGCGATTTTCAACTTTTTAATTTCATGGCACATATAAACTAATTACTAAAATTCTGCAGCACATAGAAAAAAATATATATATTTTTTGCCAATTTGACCAAAAAACAACAACAACAAAGTATAATTTTGATTCATTCATACCAGACAGCTATTGTTGTATTGGCTATTGCCATTTTTTATTTGATGATCTAAGAGAAAAGAGGTTGGTGCCCTTGACTAAATAGTCAGGTATTGCATGTTTTAAAAATGCTTGGAGCACACTGGTTGAAAAATCTCTGTTCTAAACCTTGTTCATTTTTATTTTGTTGCCTTTTTGCTTTTGCTAGCAGTTATTACTGGCTAGGATGTTAATCTGAACATTAAAAACAAAGGCTTTATTTGTCTATCTCATTAACAAAAGACTAATCTGCAAATCGACCAAATGGCAAAATGACCAGTTGCTATGATGCGCAATGACCATCTTAGAATGGCAGATGCTTGACACAGGAGCTGCCCCCTGGTGGTCAGTGCACTCCCATAAGGGGAGTGCTGCTCGGCCAGAAGTGGGCCTCATGGCTGGTGCCTCTCCCACTTCCATGGAAGCGCTAAGGATGTCCGACTGACAGAGAGCACAGGCAGCGGGCCTAAGCCATCAGTTGGACATCCCCCAAGCACTCCTGTGCTGCAAGAGAGTGCAGGCCAGGCTGAGGGACCCACCCCCCCATAATGCATGAATTTCGTGCATCAAGCCTCTAGTTATATCATAGTTAAGCTGGGAGGGGAAAAAGAAAACTAAGGCTAATCATAGTTGTAATTATTGGCTCACTGTCATTTTGTCTGTTTTCAAGTTACATACTAAGCCATCTAAAGGAGGTTCCTTTTTGTTAGCTTACATTTAAACTAACAAAAACCTCCAAATATAAAATTCCCCAAATCCTAATGGTATTATGATTACAACTGACAGAAATGTATCTTCATGAACTATAGGATCTTTCTATGAAAGAAATATTCAAGGATATCTATTATTCAAAATAAATATCTGTATTTTCTTGAAGATACAGAGTAATTTAACAGTAATTGTTTGAAGTGCAATTATATTGTGAAACATCCTGTTAAATGAGAGAAAATCAAATATTTGGAGGTAGCTACTGAAATATGTATGTATTTATAAATATATCTTATTAAAGAGCCAGACAAAATAAAGTATGACTCATTGTCAGTAAACATTTCCTAAATTTTCTTATATTATTATGAAAGTTACCATTTTTTTAAATAATGTATGTAAGATGAATTATTATTTACTTTCTTCTTAAAGAGAATGATCTATTTAACAGAAAGGTCTTTAAGATCTAACTAATTATCTTGTACTCTCTTGTCAGTAAGTTCAGGAACCACTGAATTAGACACAATAAAATTTTGTCTCCTGTGTTTCTTGTAGTTACAATTCATAGTAGATGGTAGAAATTTAAAGCATTTAAAACATGTTTTTTTTAAAAAAAAAATATATATTTTATTGATTTTTTACTGAGAGGAAGAGAGAGGAATAGAGTTAGAAAAATCGATGAGAGAGAATCATCGATCAGCTGCCTCTTGCACACCGCCTACTGGGGATGTGCCCGCAGCCAAGGTACATGGCCTTGACAGGAATGGAACCTGGGACCTTTCAGTCTGTAAGGCCTACACTCTGTCCACATAGCCAAACCGGTTTCAGCAAAACACATTTTTACAATATTATATCCGCTTTAGAGGGGTGAAACAAGAGCTATTAGCAAATGCCAAATAATTTGTAATCTACCTTAGAATGGTAAAACTACAAGGAACCTTAGAGTGCCTTCATTTCACAGATGAGGAATCAGAAGTTTGAAAATTATTCTAAGTAATGGAAGCTTCCTGAAGAGGAAGGAAAGTTCTTCATGAAATTCTAGGTATTGTATAATGCAAATCAAAATCCTTTTATGTCTTTCTGAAGGGCTGCCCTTGCCATCTTTCCACGTGGTACATAGGAAAACCAAGGGATAAGCAAGCTAAGCAGTTCACTTATTACCTCTATGAATCAGTGTCATAGCTGGGAATGGAAGCCAAACTTGAAATGCTGGAACAATCTCACTGAAGTAGGATGATCTCATACGGAATGGATGCTGGCTGCGGGTGAGGGGAAACCATATTTGGGAAGTCCTCTCATGAAGTACTGTATTTCACAAGCCCAGTACTTGCTGAAGACTGCAAAATGCTTGCTTACCGATGTGAAATTTTTAAAAATTTCCAAGGACGACAGCATATCAGATTCCCTACCTTCCTCTAAAAAAAAAAAAAAAAAAAAAAAAAGGGTCCTTGAATCCCAGAAACTTAAAATGTGCTTTATGTTTGACTCAGTCTTACACGTCCAGGAAGTGCATACAATTTACATTTAGTTTTTATTCACATAACCTAAGTCGCCTTTGTGAAATCCTTCTCTCAGCTTTTCAGCGAACATTCACAGTAAGACTACTCATTTGCGTATCTTAGCCTTGGAACGTTATAAATACAACAAAGTTCCCAACCAATCTCAGTACACCTTTTCCCCACCAAAGCACCAAAGATGATAAACTTGTAAAGAGAACTCAACCCTTAAAAAAAAAAAAAAAAAAAAAAAAAAAGAGCAAAAAACCCTGAGCTGAGGGGGGTGGGGGCATACGTGGGGAGGGATTTGGGATGGGAATGAGGGGATGAGAACAATTACGTGATACCATAATCAATAAAGAAAATTTTGGAAAAGTTCAAAAAACAAAACACCAAACCCTGAGCTGTGCCCGAGTCCCTTGATGTCACACCTAGTTGTACAAGACACATCCCCCCCGGGTCATGGCCAGTATCTCTGAGGACCGCATTCGGTGCTGCGAGGTGTTCAAACCGTCACCGCATCCACCTCCCTCGGCGATGCGATGCTGGGTGAGCTCCCGCAGGAGCACTCACTGCTGCGGTGCAGCTAACGGGACCAGTCACGAACCTGGGAACCCTCGTCGGCAGCTCTCCCGGGCCGGGCCCCGCAGAGGGGGGGAGCCGCTAGGTTCGGGGAGGAAAAGGGGAGCTCGGAGGAGGGTGGCCGGCAGGGTGTGGGCGGTAAGGGAAGCAGAGTTTGGAGAGGGAGGGGAAGGGAAGGAGAAGGCAGACCGGGAACCGAAGAGTTGGGGATCAAAATACCAGCAGGAGCAGCGCGGGTTGGGGAAGAAGGGGTTCGGTGAGGGTTCCCTAGGTTCAGGAGAGTAAAGGGATGGGTGAAAAGGGGGGCGCAGGAAATGGGTGCCAAAGAAAGAAGTGAGAAATTGCGGAGGAGGAAGTCGACCCTGGGAGGGAATGGATGCTGGCTGCGGGTGGTGGGGCAAAGGGGGAAGCGAGAATGGAGGGTCTGCAACTTTCGAGAGGAAGGGCCAGCAAGCCTCCCCGGACCGGGACCCCGGACGCCGGCGCGAGGGGCAGGAAGGGCGGCGGGTGCCGGGGTCCCCGCGGTCCGGCGCAGGCGGCCTACCTGAAGCGCTCCTGCCCCGCCGTGTCCCAGAGCTGCAGCTTGATCCTCTTGCCGGGCTCGATCTCCAGCAGGCGCGAGAAGAAGTCCACGCCGACCGTGGGGTCGCAGGCGGGGGAGCGCAGCCCCGGGAAGCGGCCCTGCGTGAAGCGGTGCAGGAGGCACGACTTGCCCACCGTGGAGTCGCCGATCACGATGAGGCGGAACTGGTAGATCCAGATGGTCTCCATCCCGACGCGCCCGGCAGGCCGGCTCCGGGGCAGCCCCACCCTCCCCGCGGCCGCCCGGCAAGTTCGGTGGGAACTGTCCCTTCAGCACCTCCGGGCGCCCGCCCGCCTGCTTCCAGCACATTCCTGCGGCCGCGGCCGCCGCCCGGACCCCGCCCTCTCGGAGGGGGAGGCGGGGCGGCCTGGCCGGGCCGGGCCGGGCCGGGGCCGGGGCCAGGGGCGGGGCGGGCCGCGCCAGGGAGGAGGATCGAGCCTGCCGCGCGGGCTCCCGCCCCGATTTGGGGAAATCACGTTCCCGCAGAGCTCACTGGGCGCCGACGGGAAAGTGGGTGTGGTGAAGGGACGTGACAGGAGCAACAGCCAATGGGAATGAAGATTCCAGGGTGGCCAGCCAATGAAAAGTGAGGATCCTTTTCTGTCACGCGTCGGGGCGGGCTTGCCCGGTTCCCGCGGTGCGTTCGGAAGTCTGGGACGCCGAAGCCTGAGTCACTGCTGTCACTGCTTTAACGGGCTTGGCCAGCCCTGTGGCCTCCGGGCCTGCCTGCCCGGGTTTCCGAAGGTTCTGGTTGCGGCTTCCTGCTCCCTCGTCTTTCCGAGCGTCACTCCGAGGCGTCCCGAGGGGAAGGAGAGTCCGAAGGAAGGAAATGTTCAGAGCAAGTTCTGGATGCTTCCCGAAGGGCCTTGGCCGTGGCGTCTTCTCCTCGCCGCGTTCAGCCCAGAAAGATGGCAGGTGTCATCTCCAGCCCCGGAAAGGAGAGGAGGAAGAAAAGTGAGATGTGGAGATACTCAGAAAAGACACCAATCTTCTCCGTCTCTGTTCTGTAAATCAAAACAACCTGAAAGGGGTCTCAACTTAGCTTATCTGGTCAGGGACCTAAATAAACAAAGCACACTTAAATTCTGGTAAGGTCTTACTGCTTTTTCATGCCTTTCGTAAAACTGGAAAGTACTGGATTCAAAGTTTATCTTTTAAAACAGCTTTAAAGTATTTTTTGGAAAATAGAATTTTCAACAGCTCCACGTTTTTTCATGCCCACATCTAAACGCTATTATCCTTCCTTGTTTTGGAGAAAGAGGATATGTTTAATCCTTTGCCACCTATGTTTTTGGACTTTTTTTTCTTCATAGATTTAAACCTCAAATCTCCCCCTTTCCAGTAGTTTCAACTCCTCAGCCTATAAACATGCTCAAGTATCCACGGCCCTAAAGCCAAGCAAAATATCTCTCCATTATGCCTATCCTTAATTTTTTTATTGACTTCACAGAGGAAGAAAGGAGAGAAAGATGGAAACATCAATGATGAGAGATGTGGACGAAAGGGGCCACATGCTGCATCGTGGTCCTGCCAACTCAGAGATCTAAAGTAACCACAAAGGATGGTCTGAAATTAAACTTTAACTAAACACAGTGATGGTGGGCAGTTACATCCTAGGCTGGTATCTTCACTGACAAGGTCAACCTTTACCTTCACTGAGCCAGTCTGTCTTTTTGCATCTATGATAACATACTCTTGAAATGTCTGGGTAACTTGTAACTTCCCTTTATCTGGAGCCCCTGGGGTACAACCAAATGTGGTGGGCACCAGGACAGATACCACAAATTCCTTCATTATCATGTTAATTGTTCCTGCACCCACCTAAGTATGTGTCCATCATTTCACTTTTTATCCAATCCCAGGGGTTTTCCTGGCTTTGCTTTATCCCACCTCCTTAATCTATCACCAATGGATTTCATATAACTCATGTAGGTCCCTCCTTTGATTGCAATGTATAAATACAAATGTAATCCGCTATACTCCGGAGCATTATCTCAATTCATTGAAGTTCTGCTTCCCGGCATATGTCAACAGTTTGGCTCAAATAAACTCACAAAAATTCTTTACAGGTTTCAATTTTTTATTTTATTTTATTTTATTTTATTTTATTTTATTTATTTATTTATTTATTTATTTATTTATTTATTTATTTATTTATTTTACCTTAACAGAAAGAATCATCCACAGGCTGCCTCCTGCAAGCCCCATACTGGGATGGAGCCTGCAATCCTGGCATGGTCCTGACAGGAAATCCAACCTTGACCTCCTCGCTCAACCCGTTGAGCCACGCCAGCTGGGCAGTTATGCCCCTCCTTCAGATTTTTGCCTCCTACATTATTCTTTTTCAAACCTTAGGAAAGAACCATTCTCATTTCTCAACCACCAGTTTGTCTTTAGCAACTCTATCTATGCCTGATACAACCTGAAATTGCTTTGGGATAAGGATGTTAGGAGCTTTGCAACACAGCTTCATTGTCCTGCTGTGTCATCCCACCCCAATCTCTCTAGTTATTCTTGACTTCCTGATAACTTTTGTTGATTACATTCTGTTGCAGAAAGCTAAGTGGCTGACTCAACTCTCAACCAGTTCTTGTAGTCCTCCAGTTAGGGATGGCCAACTGGAAGAGTTAGACCAATGAGACATTAGTAGGGCTTCTGGCAACGTGTTTGCTTTTCTGATAAGAGACGGGCACCTTTACTACCCTTCATCCTTTCTCTTTTCCTTTTCCTTCTACCTGGAAAGGGTAACAACCACCTTATGACCATAAATATGAAAGCTAGATGCTAACTATGGTGGTAGGAGAGAGGGGAAGAGCCTAAGTCCCTCATGGACTTGTTGATCTTATGCACCAGCCCTGGACATCGTAATTCGGTACCTGTTTAAGCTACTGGTGGTTGGATTTCCTGTAAGTAAAACCTGAAAACTCTTACTGGCGTCTATAAAAACCTCTCCTGCCCTAATCGGTTTGGCTCAGTGGATAGAGCGTTGGCCTGTGGACTGAAGGGTACTAGGTTTGATTCTGATAGAGGGCATGTACCTTGGTTGTGGGCACATCCCCAGTAGGGGGTATCCAAGAGGCAGCTGATCAATGTTTCTCTCTCATTGATGTTTCTAACTTTCTCTCCCTCTCTGTAAAACATAAAAATAAAAAAAAAATCAATAAATTATATTTTTAAAAAAACACCTCTCCTAACAAGGAACAGAGTGCAGGATCTCAGAGGGAAGGTAGGGGAGGGTTAGTGGGTAGGAGGTGATCAACCAAAGACCCTGTATGCATATATGCATAACCTATGAACACAAGACAATAGGGTGCTGAAGGCCTAGGGGGAGAGGGAAGGGACAGGCTGAAGGGGGTCAATGGGGGAAAAAGGGAACATATGTATACTTTCAACAATAAAGAATTCTTAAAAAATAAAAACCTTCTCTCCTAGTTCTTGTTCTTTTTAAACTTTGTCACTGACTTCTCTTTCTGTGACCCATTTCTTACAGTACATCTATTGAAGTTCCTAAGAGACCTATTTCCTTTCTTCATCCTCTTCCCCTTTTCCCCATTCACTTTGAGCAGTTTATGGTGATGGGAAGCAGAAGGCATTTTGGGGGCTAGCAATCTGAATTAGTCCCAGTAACCTGCTTTCTACTGCACTATCTTGCTAGCCTGATAATTAACTCCATTTGTGAAAGAATGTAAGGGACTAGCAGGGACTCTGTACCTAAATTAATCAAATGTCCCTAAGGCACATTCTTGTTACCTAAGTTAATCAATGTCCCTAAGGCTACAGTCTAGTCACAGCCCTTCTTAATTATCTGGTCCTGCAAGAGCTATTTACCCAAATACTTCCAATCTACAAGGGGCCATAACTAGAGGGAGGTCACTGGTGCCATCCAGGATGGACATTAGATACAATCTAAGTTAACCATTCTAACTGATTCTCAAGGGGTGGAAGGTGGGGGAGCCTGTGAGAGTCTGCTACAAGAGAAACAAACTCAGGAATATATATGAAAGGTTCTGAGTGGGCAGGGGTCGTGTACCTATGACATGAGGCCATAATGTATCAAAGAAGATTTTATCCCAACACCTGGGTGCAGGTGGGCTGAGACGGAGAAAGGCATCAGTGAGGAGAGCAGGGAGAGAGGTTTTTATTCATTTTTGCTGGCTGTAAGCCTCTCTGCTGACATAAGGGTCTGGTCCGTCCTTGGTTCTTCCAGTTATTTGAGCTATGCTGTGCTCAAGGCTGCAAGCTTACTGCAAGACATTTGCTAAGCGCAATAAGTCTTTCTTTGCCCCATTTTATTCTCTTTAACCTTTTCAATATATATATAGAGAAAATCTCATCTCATTGTCCAGGATCTGGATTTTAGGGTTCCCTGAACCAGCAGCGCTGCTTTAAATAAAGGGTCTTTCCTGAACCTCAAAGTGTCTAACTGTCACTTCTGCGCCAATTTCATAAATTCTATTTTCCATATCAGTGACTTCATCTGCTTTAGTGACTTTGGTTACCCTCTTACCCCAACCTCAGCTCTGCTTTCAGACCCACGTTTCCAGCTATTTCTCCTCTTAGTTGTTGGGCACACATTTCAGACTCAACACATCTGTATTGGTTAGGTTTCTTTGAAACAAATTTCATTTAGGGGGATGTAAAAAGATGAGTGAACTTAGAAGGATACAGTGACCGTTCTACAGAATCCACAGGAAGGAATGCAGCTGGTATTAGAAATGGATTAGAACCAGAAAGGGAAAGCTATAAGGAACCCAAGGAGCGTACGTCTTTGTCTCTCTCATATTTACTTCCTTCTAACATGTGCTTAATTCTGATTTCTCTGCAAACCAGCTTTCTCTGTTGTTTAGTCTGGGTACGAAAGACTAAAGTTGCTGTAGTTTTCATGTTAGATATCTAGATACATCTGGAGACTGATTTCCATTTCTCTGAAGAAACAATTTAGTTGATCCAGTTTGGAATAGGTATTCATACCAAAGAGATATGGCCAGTGGGACGGGAACATCTAGCAGGCCAATCCCTTTGGATGGGGTATATGGGTTATTAGCAGTCCTGGAGAAAAGATAGAACAACACCTTCCCTTTGTGTCAAAAATATATTCTCTACAATGTCCCAAAAGTGAACTCAGTAGCTTTCTTGCCATGTTTTCTTTTCCTATTTATTTACAGGTTGGTTCATGTCTTTAGTATGTATTGTAGCTCCTTAGATAAGTGATTGCTTGTGGTGTTGGATTTGGAGGCTGGGGGCATTGTGGTATGTATCCATCTTGGATTCCACCCTCTCTTTGGGCATATTCAGCCAATCATTAAATCCTGTTGCTTTTACCTCATCAATATCTTTCATATTTAGAATGCTTTTAAATGCCCCCTGTCACTGTCTTTGTTCAGCTTCATTACTTTAGACTGTACTATTAGTTTGGTACAGTACCAGACACAGCCTTGGCCTGTGTGGTTCAGTTACTTGGTGTACCATCCTATATGCCAGAGTGTGACAGGTTTGATTCCTGGTCAGGGTGCATACCTAGGTTGCAGGTTCAATCCCTGGTAAGAGCACATATGGGAGGCAGTCAATTGACATTCCTCTCTTGCATAGATGTCTCCCTCTCTCTCTGTCTCTGTCTGTCTCTGTCTCTCTCTCTCTCTCTCTCTCTCTCTCTCTCTCTCTCTCTCTCTCTCTCTCCTTTCTCTCTCTCAAATCAATTATTTTAAAAAAGTACCAGAAACAGAGTGGCTTAAAATACAGTTGGACCCTTGTATATATGGGTTTTATAAGCACAGATTCAACCCACCTTAGAGAAAAATTACTCAGATTTTTAAAAGTGGTTGATATGTACTATGTAGTTAGGCCTAGGATGGTTGCATCTGTATTGAACATGCACAGACTTATTCTTCCTTATCATTATTCCTTAAACGCTACAGTGTAACAATTATTTACATAGCATTTACATTGCATTATGTATTGTAAGTAATCTAGAGATTATTTAAAGTATATGGGAGGATGTGTGTGTGTGTGTGTGTGTGTGTGTGTGTGTGTTGGTCAAAATGTATTTCTTTTGGATAAAATAAAAAAATTTCAAAAGCCAGTGATCTAGATGAGCTCTA